TATGTAAAAGTAGACATTAATATTCATTATAGTCAAATATTTGCTCTTTGTGAATATCATAGTTATCTATAACACTATGACTTCAAATACATTTAAAAACATATTAAAAAAAGAAATTGATTATTATCCAATGTATTTGTTACATTTTTCTGTTGATAGTTAATTTTAAATTAGAATAAAAGTAGAAGATTTGTGTTATTTTATTTTAGTATTTTTTCTAATTACTATCCAATTAGATGTTTCAAAATCTCTTAAGTTCTGTGATTCAAAATGTAAGTAGTTAATAATTCAAACACTGTCCAAAGAAAGGAAGCATTGTAAATAACAAACTTTCTTTCTTCGTACGTCTCATTAGTTTTTTTAATAATTAATCACACTAACGTTTCCGTAGTATGAACTTAAAACAATATTTTCTCGTTGCACATACAGAGTAATTAAAAGGGTTTTCTTTTTTATAAAACAATACTGTTTACAAAAATACTAACAATTATTTTCATAATGTTTACATTTGTTTATTTATTTTTAAATTTGTACATACTCTTTTTGCTATGAAAACGTCCTAGAATTTCATGAACTTTGAATAATGGCGTATGGTATTAATATACTAACAATATTAATCAACTAAATAACTATTAGAATTTAAAGAATAATATTAAAAATATAACTGTCAGGACGTTTTTTGGTATAATTTTATATTGAAACTATTCACCGGTGTATCATTATTGCGTACACAATACGCCGTTTGAATTTACCATTTCTTGAAATGATGTTTTGCGCTATTAACATTTTAAAACAATGTAAATTCAATAAAACTTATGCTAAAATAAAAAAAAAATTGTCTTAGAAAAAAAATACAATGAAAATTTTTTTTTACTTTAAGATATTATTTAGCTAATATTTTTTCGCCTTATTTATCTTAGGGAATTTATAAAACACTGTCGTTAAATTAGCACTATTGTTGATGGTAAGTTGTTAAGTGTTTGAACATTCTTTTGTATAATAATAATTATAAAAACAATTTTCTTAGCGAAGAAACGGATGTATTAACATATAAATTATGTACTAACTTGAGTAAATGACACAAAATAACACAATTTAACTACATACACAATTAATAGCTTAAACACCATAAAAATATTAAAATATTACATTAAAGTATTATTTATTTTATGTTGATTAGCCATTGCAAATCTATGCACTAAGATTAAATGAAACATCAATGAGTTAAAAGAGATACGATTTTTAATTTTGAATTATGATGAACAATTTTTATTATTTTTGTTTACTACATAAAATTATATTTTGTATTCTTGTTTGGTTAAATCAAACTTCATTTACTATTTAATTGTTGAGTTATGCAGATTTAAATTCTGTGTTTGTTCGTTTTTTAACAACTGGTAAAACATAATTTTACAGCGATTTTTCGTCATGGATTTACATAAAAGAAAATATTTTGATAGTATATATTACGTATAAGACCTGTAACAATAACAGTTGTTGGTTGGAATATTTCAGTATGTTTTAGTGTTTTATTAAAACAAATATGTTAAAATATAAATTTATTTTAAATAGTTAAAAAAAGTTTTGAATTTTGATGTTTTTTTGTTTATGAAAAATGTAATTTATTCAATAATATGTTGATAAGTAATTATCTACAATATTTTTAAATGGTTTCATTGAAAGTTTTTAGTATAATAATGTCTCAGCTATTGACATTAAAATTAAATTATACAGCGCGTTTTGTCTCCTAATAGGTTTTAATTTTATCTCTACTCAATGTTCATAAACACTAACAATTGTGTGCCATTACATTGTAATCAATTATAATGAAGTATGAATCAAAGCAGAAAATAGTATTTTCTACTTTAGCTCTCCACTTAAGATGTTTTTGCATTTAAATATGAAGATCCATTCACACAGTCTGTAAAATTTGAAGAGATATTTAATTACTAATTACGTTTCTTAGTAATAATTAGGGATCTCAAACATCCTGTCAAACAACTACAACTTCAAAGAATAAAAGTTGAACTATCATTGTGTAGTTCATAGTTACAATTTATACAAACTTTATACCACATTAGTATCTTTAGTAATTAGGGTAATATTATCTAGGGTTGAATAGTTATTTGTAAATAATTAAATATAAATATTGTTATATATAAAATTAATGAGTCATTTTAATTATTTATAAATAATAATTAAATTTTTAAATATCCTTTAATGTATTAAGAACAATATCGATTTATTTTAAATTTAATTTAAAATCAAGTATGTAACATGAATATGTAAAATATAAGTATTAAAATTTCTGTAATTTTCTAAAAAAAGAGACATATTTTTTATTTTTTGTAATATAAATTTAAATATTTTGTGATCACTATACAGTATTAAACCTAATTAAGTTTGAGGTTTAGTTAAGAACATAAAAATGTTAAATTGTTGAATTTAAAAATCATTAAATTTTTCTAAAGTGTCACTGTTATCTACTTGATTTCTAAATTATTTAAAACGATTTATTTAGTAAAACTTTATGAAAGGCACAATAAGTAGTTGCCAGATCTAGTTGTTGAAGAGTGCAAGTGAACTATATTTCAAACAAAAATAGTGAAATTTGATACTATAATAGATAAAATTATTATTCATTGTAATCTATAAGAGAATAAATTGCCAAAGAATCATTTACTTCTATATGTAAATCTCTAAGAGACAATTTTGAATTGTGTATTATAATTGTAGTATAAAAAGAAAAACTTGGCCAACTCCTAATATAGTATCGTCGATTTAAATCAAACATATTTCGTTTTTGTTAGCGATTAAAATTATTAAATATATAAAATAAAAATTAAAATATTGATAGAAAGAGGCACCCTGTCCTCAGACCTCCTATAGCACTCATGAGTGACTGGTTTAATTGTGTCTGCACGTCGTCAACCATTGCCACTTCCATGACGACTATCAGTCATTTTTAAAGTATATTTTCCGACTCGTCTTTACACTCTGTTTTAATTTCTTCTTTCATGTCTTAACTCATTAATCATTCGATTAAAACATCGCTTACAATTTTTGATTACTTTTAGTATCGATACCTCATATTGCGTCCATATTTGTGTTTTTCGTCATTGATTCAGTAGTTTATGAAAATTACTTTCAAGTTATGTACCATCATCGCCACATAGATTTATAAATATTCGTCACCAGCATACATTAATTAATACATCGTCTTGTCAATGTACTTGTTTACACTGAAAATCCGATATTGCACTTTAGCTACTCTTTATTCATTTGATGCCAGATCACCGACATACAAATAAGAATTTTAAAGATTAATTTATTTAGTGATTGATAATTGTTATTAACTACTTATAGTATGTTAGCTTTTATGTTATAAAATTTCATTTGCAGAACAACTTTAATATATTTTCATACATTTATATTCATTAAAATAGGTGTACTTATTTTCACTTTTCCTTTCTTCTTTTTTTGTTCCTTCAAATACAAAACACCCATCACATTAGTAGCAGGCAAAATATAAAAGGGTGAAATTATCATTTTGCCAACTTAATTGAATCAAACAAAAAATAATATAGTTAATAAAAAATTGTTATTGTTAAAGGTCTGTTTTAAGCTAAAAATTTTTTATTTATACTTTGATTTAAATAAAATTGTTTATTATCTATGTATATGTAATATTTATTTGTTTATATTTATATTATATTTTGTTATTATACGATAGTATTATATTTATTTTTATTCTATTATCAGTTGTAACCTAGCAAATTTTATTGATGAAAGTAAAAATGCAATAAGTTTTTGCCAAAGATTGAATTTGTTTTTTATTCAGTAGAAGAAGTTATTTTGCATAAAAAATTGGATTTTTGATTTCCCATCATTTTAACTAGATAGTTTTCAAAGTCAATAATAAAGAATTATTTTTATTTATTTTAATAATTAAAACAAAATTATAATTAATCTTGTAAAGTATTTTTTAATATATTAATAATATTTATAAATGATTTAATAAAAAATAATATGCATTATTAAGTATGCACTTTATGAGTTACCAGAATTGTTTCATATGATCACTAAAAATCACCAAGAAAGTTTTAACCGCTTTTTTAACTTAGTAATAATCAAAGCCACCTATTTGTAGTCATTAAATTTTTAACCCGCTTCATGTAAAAAATAATTCCGGCACCTCTGTACATATTCAATAAATACTAATTTATTGAATTAATGATAATTAATGATATACAATTAATGTATAAAGACGTTACCATTGAATTACATTATAGGTAAGTTATAGAACTTGACGCTAAAATGTGAATTAGAAACTCCCTTTAAAAGTTGACATTTTTTAATTAATATCCACAAAACGACTTAAATATTACTATGAAATTTGAATGTAATAAAATAAAAAATTGATTAGAAAATCAAAATAATATTTTATTCTGATTTTGTAATAATTTATCAAAACATTTTAGTGTAAAAAATAAAAACAATTATATAGCAACATTTCCTATAGGAAATATTTAAAAAAGAATTCAATTTTTAATGTAATTCACTTTAGCTTAAAATATATGAATAAAAGCAAGCAAAAAGAGGAAATCCGTTTGAAAATCTGTCATTAATTTTTTTACGATTCTTCTCTAATAGTGTAAATATAAATGAATAAAGGAGTATAAGATAAAAATTAAAAGAAGGAGAACATTTGTATAAAAAAACATGGTAAAGATGATAGCTTTCAAAAAATTAATTGAAGTAGTATTTTATTTTTTTACTTAAATTTTACAAAATAAATTTAGACTTATCAGAAAATGTTTATTCTATTTTATTAACATAAAAATTTTTAATGCATGCAAAAATAATATGAAATAGTATCTTAAATTAATTTTTTTTCTTCAAATTTTGAAATTTACAGTTATAGACTGTTATATCTATAAAACCAGTGCATTATAAGTTACTTTATTCAGTTTTACTAATTACCAAATTTTTTTGTTTAGTATCAACAATAGAGGGTTCTTGGCTAAATATATCAAAAGTTAATCGTTTACATATGGGAGCATATTTATGCATAGCTTCCAATGGAATCCCACCATCTGTAAGCAAACGAATTATGTTAATTGTACATTGTAAGTAAATAATTTAATAGTACATTATTTAAAAAGTAAAGTTATATGCATCTTAATATAATAATTTTTCGCTTAGTTCCTCCTATGATTTGGATTCAAAATCAACTTGTTGGACTTTACCAAAGTGATTCGGTCACTTTAGAATGTCATTCAGAAGCATATCCAAAATCAATAGATTACTGGACTAAAGATAAGAGTACCCTTATATCAAATGGTAATATCTAAAATAGAAATAGATTTAAATATTTTTTTATTTCAGTTATGTAAGACCATAATATCCAGACAATTATTTAATTTTTTATATAACAATTTATTTGTTGAAAAAAAATACTGATATTTAGTACCAAGATATTTTTAAAACGTTGTTTGGTGTAATTTTACAGATAAATTTGCAATATATCAATGTAATTGTGTTTCAGTTTTTTTTACTTTTTATGTGTCACAGTAAAAGTTGATTCTGAACCGTAATTGTCGTGTAGCTTAACAGAACTGGGGGTATCAATCATATTATGTTTACAATGACTTTTATTTGAACCAATTTTCCTCCGGTTGTCGTCCAAACAATTTACAGTAGTTTCAATATAAATGACCAGTCAAAACTTTTTAGCCTCGAGTTTTATTTACTTTTATTTATTATCGTTTCCTATTAACTCTTGCTGGGGTCATCGATTGTTTTTGCTAATATTTATTAAAGATTTAAAACTTAAAATATATTGAAAATATTTATTTAAACTAAACAATCTGAAACTCAAAAATCTACAGTACTTAGCGAATTTCTTATTATTTATTTATTAAAGACTTCAGTCAGCCTCTGTGAATAATTTATATATGCTGACTGACTATAAAAAGTTGTGAATTATTAATAATTTTTTTCATAGGTACTAAATATCATACTGAATTAGTTGAAAACACGTATAAAACACTCATGAAATTAACGATACATTCCGTTTCATCACTTGACTTTGGCATGTACCAATGTATATCAAAGAACTCATTAGGTGATACAGATGGATCTATTAAACTCTATGGTATGTATATTTTGATTGATACAACTTAATAGATAGATATAAAAGTTTTTTAATGAACCGCATTCGTTTCAATTTATGCGAACTTATCCAACCAGTTAAATTAGCTTGATTCGGCTTCAGTGAAGAAGCATTCAATAGATTAAGAAAATCAATTTAGATCGAATTATATACTAATTTTTTTTTACAGAAATACCGAGACCAACAACAACTACAACGACAACTGAAGCAACAACGACCACGAAGAAAGCTATGACAACAACAAGGAAAAGCCCATCAAAACTTGACGGCACCGGTATAGTATTTATAAAATCAAATGTATTCGAAAAAAGTTTCTATTCTATGGACGCGTATCTATCTATATTTTGGATAGACGCCTAAAAACTTTGTGCTTGGTTAAATTCTAAATTCTGGGGTTTTCTTGACCTCCGTACATCTTTGTTTGGACGAGCTTTCTTAAAAAATACTTCTACGCAATATTGTAAACATTCTATGTGAAATATATATAATATGATTTGTTTTGTTTTACTTCAAGCACCCGCAAACGACTTGGACCGGAGGCCGTCGAAAAAGACCGGAAAACACGGTGACGCCAACGTAGACGCTAATAAGAAGGACCGTACAGGAGGAGAACGACAAACTTCTCGGACAGCTGCCGCTGTCGGTAAGTTTAACAGAAAATATAGTACCAAGACACGCCCATTAGTGTCACCACTAGTTCAAGATAAACATTGTATCCACAGTTTCTGTGATTTATATCAATAGTCTAAGGCATAAAAAGGATAAAGGAAGAAATGGCACGATCTCTCGTTTTGTTTGCACTGTATAAATCATGGAAAACCCAAGAAAATTTGTATTCTTATTTGTTTTAGAATACCGACCACCAAACCTTTTTGGTATCATTTCAAGTGTCCACTTTAGTTTTTTAAATTATGGCATTTACAATAGACTTCTTATTCACAAACAATGCCCTTTTAACAGTTAGCAATTTAAAATAAGATTGCCTTTTAAAATACACCGAATAACCTGACAACGCTTAATATCAAACTATTTCTTAATTAATGCTTAATATTACACTAACACTTTTTCAAAATAATGCTGATGCAGTAATATTAATATTTGAGTTCATATTTAAGTCGCAGTCATTATTGCATTATTTATTAAATTTTTTACTAAATATGATATATTGTTCGAAAGACGAATCATCTAACAAACAATTTTCGAAAGAAACTATATTTAATCTTCATATTTATGGTTGTTTTACTAATTAACTGTAATTTTATTATAAATAAATGTTTTCATAAAACATTTTCTTCAAAGGAATTATTTTAGATTATTTAGTGAAATCTGCACTGTTAAACATTATAAAAATGTCAAGAAGTAAAATGATTACAAGACAAAAGTAATTTCGTTAATTTTCCATACCTTTAAATTTTTAAACTTCATCTCTCGTTTGAATGTAAATTAAATAAAAACATGGCTTTGATAAAAAAAATTTAAGTGTCCAATAATATTTATAAAAATTTGAATATATTTCTTAATTAAAACTTAAAAAAGTTAATAAATATAATTAAATAAAAATCCTTCAAAAGTTTTTATTAGAATTATTTTGTTTTACCTAAAGTATTTGTAAAATAAATATCAATTTTTTATTAATTTTTAGTACAATCAATTATTATTCTTATTCTTTATTGTATTATTTCTACACAGAACATGTTTTAAAAATTTTTATATATTAAATTTGATTTATAATCTTATCCTTAATTAATACATAAAACAAGAATTGAAATAATTTATCGATTTAAATTTTTACCAATATTAATTTTCTTAAAAGTAAACATTAGATCGTTTATCAAAAATTTATAATATTTAATTGTTAGTTGATAAAATCAATTTTGTTCTAGTAAACCGTCACAAGATATATTAAATTACTATGTGTTTATTTATGCACAGTATTACTTAATAATGGATTATTAATGTTAGCTTGTCGTCTAGAATATTAGGTTGACATTATGTTATTGATCACATGTATAGTACCCACAAAATGTATGATCGAATTTAACGTTCAAATTATTTTAAATTATTCAAATATAGTTCTAACAATGGTTATTTCTATAGTGTTCAAAAAGTAGGGAACAGATCAATTGTTACAAAAAATAAAATCCCTTTCTTTACTTACTAAATGTTTTATATAATATATAAAAAATTTAAACTAATTATCATCTAATGAATTATGCTATAAAAAAAATAATTTTATAATGATATTATGTATGTTTACGTGAGCAATTAACTCTTACGGAGTTAGTGTTACTAAGAAGAACTTAAATTATTACAAATTATATCTAATTGAGGATGTAAACGCTGTAATTTATACATAGAGTTATCAAAAGCAGTTGATTTGAGAAAAGGAATAAGTGATAGACATTTTCAATAAAACTGCAAAATTTAAAAATATTTATATAGAACAACGATTATGCATTTTAAACATCTTTCCCCTTTATGGATCTTAAAAGTATTTCTCTATCATTAAAAATTCCGTTTAAATATACTCTTTTGAAATAAACTTTTTACTAATAAGAGCTATGTATTTTATTTCCTCACTTCATCATCAAAACAATAATAAAGTTATATTTTTTGTTTTCATAAATCAATTTATTTTTAATAAAAATTAAAAATAGTATAGAAATGTTCCACGAATGAATTATTAATTAGATTTGCCAACAAAACTAAATTTCTTCTACCTTACAATAATTTTTATAGATATAATTTTAAAATCATAAATTGAATTAGTCCACTCTACATAATAGTATTCATTTATGTTAGTATAATATGGAATCCTATATATCCATACTTGCTAATAATGACATCACTATAAAATTTTATAAATTGATTATTAAATATTGATACAGTAATAATTTTCTTCCAGCACGATTGAAAGTTTTAGTTGTTGAAACAAAATTCTTCCATAGTTCTATTAACTTGCAATTCTCAATATCTTCACGTTTTTTAATTTGATTATGATAGTTTATTTGAATAACTGTTAAGTTACATTAAACTTTTTGAAAATTGATTAGAAAATCATGAGCTACTAATTCTATTATAAGTGAATCACCTTGTATATAAGTTTGATTTTTAATTTCTTTTTCTTTATATTAAGCTGTTCAATTTTTTGGAAAGGATTCAATTATCGTTATTAAATTAGCACCCACTGAATTAATTTGAAAAATAATTTTTCAAATTTTCATTTTATTTGATTTGTTAAATAATTAAAAATTTATTATTATACAATTTTCAATTAAAAATTTAATTTGCAAGAAATATTCTTTTTTACTTTCTACAACGGACTAGACATATGCTCGTGTTTTCTATGTTATAATATATTTATAGTAATTTTTTAGATGATTTAAGAGTTATTTAGTTTTGCGATAGTGGTTATTCGGTACGAATGTATATTCGCGCTCCCGATGTTTTTATTCTCTTTTTAGTTAATTAATTATTTTATTTAATTACCTTAAACGATGTTGGAAATGCGGTAATCACATTCTTTGATTGTTTACTAGAAAAATTTACGTTTAATATAACAATTACTCGTATATGTTAAACATTTTTAAGGTTTTTCACGGTCGTCGCCGCTGCGGCCATAATTATTTTTAGTTGTACACTATCACCTCACTCGTTACCGTAATATATAAATACTCATACCATAATGTCTAACAACAACAATATTACTAATATACCGATTTCACCAATCAAAATTATTAATAAAAGTGTACACAATTCATCGCCTCAATAGAACGCAAACTACAACTTAGCAAATAATAGCTGGACTGTACAGCGCAATAAAAATATCTCTCCAGCTCTTCTTATTCTGAACCATCAAACTCGCCTAAACACAAATTCAAGTAAATAAAATTTTTTTTTTTTTTAACATATTTGAAGTTCTCAAACAAACTGATAATTATGATAACATTCAAACACTAACACGTGGTCAAATAATATAGAACAATTCAACACAGAATCTACCGAAAAACCCCTTCCTCCTAATTTTTATATAAGGTATGCAAGACTTTCTTGAAATATGCACAACCTTAATTGAGATACTTGGTGATGAAAACTTTATTTGTAAGTCATCCACGGATCGGTTAAAAATTCAAATTAACTATCCTGATACGTATAGGAAATTTGTACACTTTATTCTTCATTTTTCTCGCCTTAATCCAAACTACTTAGAGTCGGCTATCTTTATCCTAAATTTCCACTTGATACGATTTCCCTCAGCATCTAAGCACACATCAACCGTCATATCGCATTCAATAACATCCCTCTATCTCTTTTTTAGTTACGTACTACTAATACTAATTCGTTACCGACTAATATTCGTATTCTTATAGCAGAAAAGAGAAGAGTTAGAACTTTTTACCAACGTACTCGCTTACCCTATCATAAAAAATATATATTATAAGTTATCAAATTCTCTCAAAAAGCATCATCAAAAAACAAAAATCTCTCTTTTGAAAAGTACCAGTCTAATATGTCAACAAAAAATGGCAGCCTTTGGAGAACAACAAAGCAAGGACTTCAATATAAAGCACCTAACACATGTTTTAAAAAATTTGACGTAAGTGTTGACACGTCAGATTTTGAAAAAGCTGAACTATTTAAAAATCATCTCTTTAATTCATCCAACCTCACCAAGATATAACATCTGAAAATATACATACGATTCTTAGGTATTTTGACTTGCCATTACCACTCACTCTCCTGGTAAAACATATTACGCCGAGTAATATTAAATTTGCCGTACTAAAATACTCTCTAAAAAAATGTTCAGGTTTTGATCTAATTATAAATGAAGTAGCTAGATGTCTAAACAAACTATCATCCTATTAACCCATAATTTTAATGCTATACTAAGACTTTCTTACTTTCCACTACTCTGGAAGTTGCGCTTTTTTTGACATCTGTCAAATATGGCACAAGGGACTGTAACACAAATTAAAGAAATTTTTACTATCAACTTATTACATTCTTTTAAAGTCATATTTAACCGATTGACATTTTCAAATTCATTATAAATCCGCGTATTCTAATATAGTAAATATTAGAGCTGGTGTTCCACGAGGAGACATTATTTCTACAATATTGTATAACATATACGCTTTACACCAACCAAGCGATAAAGTAAACATATAGACAAATGAAAGTCTCATTATCGCATCGTTTAACTTACAAAATCACCTTTCATTAAAACTTTTAAGAAAATTATTTGTTGTTAATTATGAATTAAAAGTTTTACCAGGAATTTTCATAAAAAATATACTTTTATTATTTAATTCTTCGTGCTTATTTCAAATCTGCCATTAGATTATTTCTATCACCACTAATTTTTAATGTTATTACTAATTAGTTAATAACTATAGTATATATAGTTCCGAATATTTCAATTGTATCATATATCTACATACCAAGAGTTATATAGAAATGATTAATATTTCTATAAAAATTATTAAATACGATATAAATACAAAAAATATAATAAGTGATTTTAACGAAATTTTGGACGTGAAACACTGAAGTGTGAATGACTCAACAACCTTACATTACACCTATATTTGGATAAAAAGGACAATTTAAACTAGTTCGAAAATTTAAAGTCGTTTCTCT